TCTCTGTTGGGTCCTGTTTCCTGACCTGGGTCTTACTCCTTCGTTTACTGTGTTTGGGCAGAGTAAATCCTCCGGTGGTTTCTGAAAAAGTTAGTGCGAAGGAAATAATTTTGGGGGATCTTGCATGGTCTGAAAGTATCTTTATTTTACCTAATATTTGATTGATCACTGGGCCGGTTATAGAATTCCAGGGTGGAAGTGATTTTTCCCAGGGAATTCTGAAGCCATTGCTCCGTCATAGCCAGCTCCCAGGGTTGCTGTGGAGAAGCCAGATGCCATTCCTTTGTGTTTTCTCTGGAATTTTGAAGAATCTTCTCTTTGTTCCAGTGTTCTGAAATGTCTTGAGACAGGTGCTCAGTGCTCCTTTCAAACTAGAAATTCGTGACCTTTAATTCTCAGAAATTGTGTTATATCTCTGATTTCTTCTCTTCTGTTTGCTATTTATTTATGGGGTTTTTTTTTTTTTTCCCTCAGAGACTGGTCCCCTGATTTTCTTATTTTTTGACTTCTTTTTCTTATTTCTTTTTCTTTGATTCTTTCAGGTACATCTCCTCAACTTCTCACCCTCCCATTGTTTGTCACTTGTCCTCCTCATTTTTAATTTTCAAAAGCACATTTGCTCTCCGAATGTTCCTTCCCTCACGCTGCCCTGTTCATATTTCATAGCTATGGTGGCCTTTGATCTCTGAGATCTGATGATGGTTTTCCTGATGTCCCCTGCCCCCTCTATAAACTCCGTTTCCTCCAAGTTAGCTTTTTTCCTCTGCCTTTCGTATTAGAGGCAATCCTCAAGTGTTTGGTGATACTTGCCATCCACTCACATGTCAGAAAGGAGCACGGAAAGATGCATAGAAGCTCTGCACACGTTGGGGGAGCTTATCAGGGTAGGTTTCCCTTCCCTGGAGGGCCACCAGACTGCTCTTTTGTTCAGAAATCTTCAGTGTCGGGGTCTTCAGATCTCTTTGGGGTTGGTCGAGTCCCCAGAGAGGACCCCTCCAGTCTGCTGTCTAGAAGGAACAGATCTGGCTGCCAGTGTTGTGCAGCTGAGTGGGACAGAGGATCTGGCTTGTGTGACCCTTCACTGAAGCTCCCTGTTCTCAAGGCACTGCCCCTGCCCCCACTGGGCAGAGCGCCCCCAGTCTAGACACTTAGAACTCTTCCTTTCTAGACACTAAACCTCTGGCGGGGGGACAGGGTGGCACTCGCTCAGCTGTGTGGGGAGGCTGGGGTGGAGATCTGAATCACTGCTTCTTTGTGTGTGTGTGTGTGTGTGTGTGTGTGTGTGTGTGAGGAAGATCAGCCCTGAGCTAACGTCCATGCTAAACCTCCTATTTTTGCTGAGGAAGACCGGCTCTGAGCTAACATCTATTGCCAATCCTCCTCCTCTTTTTCCCCAAAGCCCCAGTAGATAGCTGTATGTCATAGTTGCACATCCTTCTAGTTGCTGTATGTGGGACGCGGCCTCAGCATGGCTGGAGAAGCGGTGCGTTGGTGCGCACCCAGGATCCGAACCCCGGGTGCCAGTAGCGGAGCGCGCGCGCTCAACCGCTAAGCCACGGGGCCGGCCCTGAATCACTGCTTCTTAAACAGACTTTCAACCAGTGTTCCTCTTGTCATAACCCACTTTCACCCTCACTTCCTTGAGTACCTGGGGCCACTAATGCCCCAACCTCACGGGAATTCCACAGCAGCATAAGTCCAGTCACTGCCCAGCATTTCCACGACATCTTAGCATTCGTTGTTCTCACGTGCTCAATCAGTTACCAGCCACCCATCTGCTTTCCAGCTTCTGAAATCTCGTTGCTGTCATCCTCTTCCTGTTCCCTTTGTCCTCGTGGAATTCTGCCTTTTTTAAAGCTCTCTTTGCTGCTGTTGCAGTGGGTTTCAGAAGTGTGATCCATTCCGTCTGCATCTTCAGCTGGCACGTATGCACTTCCTTTCATCCTGGGGTGCCTCCCCTCTTGGGTCCCCCAGCTTCTGCATCTCCAGGACTTCCTCATCCATCACTTCCAACCCCTGTTGTCTTCTTTTCAGAACTCTCTTCCGAGTTTCTCAGCAGATGCTGTCACCCATCTCACACCTACCCCAGTGGTTTACTTTAACTGTGTGGACTCCAAATAAACCATTACATTTTAAAAGAAATAAATAATACTGAAAGAAAGTGATGTCAAAAAAAGGAGTTGATTATTTATAGAAAGAGGTTGACATACCAGGTGGGGCCTAATGGATGAGGCTGAGTTAGTTGTTTAAAAAACAAAATCTAAAATAATAAAAGATGCAATGTTGATCATTTACTCTATAAACCCATTTTGGGACCTTGACAGTGATATTTTTGTCCATTTAACATTAAATTTGAATAACTTTTAATAAATATTTTTAGTTAGTAATTCTTAGTGACTCCAGTTATGTGCGTTATTTTAACAAACGAGCAATTCTTAACACAGTTTAGAATAACTCTTCCAAGCATAGTCTCTGACTAATGCTTAGTTGGCTGACACTCAGCAAGAGAGATCAGAGATTCCACGATGAGACCAGAGTTAAATGACAAAAATTCAGAGGTTCATTTGTATCTGACCCTGAACTGTATTATAACAGAAGCTCCTGATGTTTTAGAAATTCAGTTTACGCAAAATGGTTGAGCTACTTCAGGAGTGCCAGTCCAATGAGGGCGCTTTCTCCAGCTGTCCCTGCCATCTCTCTAGGCCGTGGGCCTTGACATTCTATTCTGCTCTGTGCCCCGAGGGAATAAGACCCACTGCTTTCAGAAACGGTAGCTCAGGGCCGGCCCCGTGCCTTACCGGTTAAGTGCGCGCGCTCCGCTGCTGGTGGCCCGGGTTCAGATCCCGGGTGCGCACTGACGCACCGCTTCTCCAGCCATGCTGAGGCCGCGTCCCACATACAGCAACTAGAAGGCTGTGCAACTATGACATACAACTATCTACTGGGGCTTTGGGGGAAAAAAAAGGAGGATTGGCAATAGATGTTAGCTCAGAGCCGGTCTTCCTCAGCAAAAAAGAAAAAATAAGAAAAAAAAGAAACGGTAGCTCATAAAGCAGGGAGTCTGCTGGGGGACAGGTCAGAATCTGGGGGCTCGGGCAGGAGACAGTGGCTGAGGGCATGTACAGTGTGACCAGACTCAAGAAATGACACTGCATCATGGAGGTTAAGATAGAGCAGAGCCTTTTTGTTCTTTTAATTCACGTAAACTTTTTAAATTGAAATACACCTGTTCAGAAAAGTGTGGAGATCTGAAGTAGGCAGCTCACTGAATTTTCACAAGATGACCACATCTGTGTAACCGGCACCCAAATGGAGGAAGAGCATAGTGGCACCCGGAAGCCATCCCTGGCCCTTCAGTCACTGCCTCCCCCTCCCACGGGAGGCCTCTGCCCTGACTGCTCCTCCGTGGGTAGTTCTTCCTGGGCTGGGACTCGATGTCATCGGGTAGTATATAGTCTTTTGTGTCTGGCTTTTTTTTTTTAGAACATCAGCTTTTAAGTTCTGTTTCAGTATCTTGGTCCATGTTAGATTGAGAACAGGAAAAGAGGGCGAGCCTGCTTGTCTATTTCAGGCCCATTCCAGATTACAGATAGTCCTCCAGCAGGAACACTGGTTGAATGTTTGTCTTTCAAAGAGCCACCTAGTTGCAAGCAGAGTTAGGCCAGATAGAGTATGAAATGCCAGCACAGCCAGTGATTAAAGGGTATTGGCTGCAGTGTGCTTCGAAGCAAGGTAATTCTTCCCATAGATAATTCGATAGATCGTGCTTGCTGAACGGTTATTTTGTTGCAAGCGCTGCGCCCAGGCTCTGGAGAAGAGAGGGCGGTAAAAGGTGCTTCCCTGTCCACCCTTGGCAAGCATCCTGTCTCTCATATGAGGGGTATCTGAGGGGTTATTGACTCTGCAACTTGGACTCGTTCAAATGACGAATTCCAGATAGTTTCAGAGTTTGAAACACATCGTGTCTGCGCACTCAGCCTCAATAACAGTCCTTTGTGGCCCAGGTGCTGTACCTGGTGGAGCACTTCTCTCTGAATGGGGGTGGGTGTTGCAGTGTTTCTCCAGCGGGAAGCCCAGTTTATGGCACATTAGGTATAAACTCTACATGGAAATGTTTGTATTTCCCTTGGCAAGCAAATCGGACTGTGTCTATTCTCTGTGCTCTAATCCAGCAAGGCCAATTACGGGAGTAGAGCTTCAGGGCCCCGTGTAACTAATCTGCTTCATTAGTCTGCTCTTGGAAATGCCCAGCTTCCAGCGGCGGGACTGCAGGCTCCTGGAAGAGGAAGTCTTTAATAGATTTCCAGCGTACCCAAGGATACATTGTACATTTGTTTTTCTTATGCTTATTTTAAAACACTTAAATACGCAAACGCTTCAGAGAGTTTGAGAAGCATCCAGACTGCAGTGGCATCTCTTTCCCAGTGAATCCCTGCTCAGTTGATGACCTCAAAGCCTGTATTTTTCCCTTGCCTTTTATCTGTTTCCTGATGTCTATTTGAGTTGCTGTTACTGTCCTTGGTGGCATCATTGTTTAAATTTCCATAAACATTCATCTCAAACTGTGGGATGTAAAAGCAAGTTCCAGTGCATAACTCAGTATACTCAATTAAAGGAACTTGTTACGCGGGTCCTCTGGCGTGAGTGGTGTTAGAGAAATCTTTAGTGTATTAACTCTGTCCTCAACAACAGTGTACATCATGTCCCTACATTTCTCCCATAGTGTTTGTAGTAATAATCCAGAGCAGTAGAAAAACAACAGATTAAAATAAAATACATTCAGGCCCACAACTTTCTGTGTGTCCATGGGGAAGCTCCTTCACCTCGCTGAATCTCAGATTCTTCAACTGGAAAATGACAGTGACAATGATGCCTGCCTCTGGGTTGTTGGGAGACTAAACAAATTAATGTGTGTGAATGCCTTTAACACAGTGCCTGCCCCGTAGTAGCAATGACATTCAGCAGATGTTAGCTGTTGTTAATATTTTTAGCCTTCATCCTTATTTCCTTTGTTCAGGGTGAAATCGACTCTGCAATGCAGAAATTATCGTCACTAAAAATGAGCTACAAAGCTGCCACAGGAGAGGATTACAAGGCCACCTGCTCTTCAGAGAACCCGGCACCTGGCAGCAAGGGTGGCCTGGATGACACGGAAGCTGAGGAGGATTTCGTGGACCCGTGGACAGTGCAGACGAGCAGTGCAAAAGGCATTGACTATGACAAGCTCATTGGTACGTCCTGGGAAGAGCCCCATCTTTTAGAAGTGATTCCATTGATGTTTTTTATTTTGAATTAATCATCAATCCAGTCAAGCTTCAAAGTCAGGAAAAAAATAGATCCTAAAATCTTTGGGTGGTGCATTATATTCCCAAAGGATTATTTTTAACTAAAATAATAATATAAAACTGAGTTCAAAATAGTGGTCTTCAGTAGACAGTTGAAGATAAGCTTTTCCCTTTTTTTAAGTAATTCAGAATGGGGGAAAAGTCTATGGAAGTGGGCATCTTTGCAGTCATTTAAATTGTCTTTAACTTATTGGTGACAAGTCATTCATTGATTACTCAAGTTTCTCGTCCAGTGATGTGGTTTATGGAGCTAAAAAGCGGGCGGTCAGTTTGAGAAGGATGATTGCCTAACAGATGGCAGGTTGTCATTGCCACGCCCTTCCTCGAGGGCTCCTGCTCAGGAAAGTCCCTGCTCTGAGGTCACTGATGAGTGACAAAGAGGAAACACAGCTCATCTGTTTTTATCTAAGTCGAAGCCATTTTCCATGATTTAAGAATAGACAATCAATGAGTGAAAATTTACTTGAAGACAGACGTTAATTCGGTTCAACAAATAAAAAAATATTAAAATTATGGTTGTCAGTGTACATAAATTATACCCTAGTAAGCAGCTGTATGTGTGTGTGTCAAAAGTTGCTAGCTAGACTGTATTCTGGGTATGTTTCCCATCAAAATCCAATCCCAGACAAAACCGAGTTTTATGCTGTAAGCTGTTTCCTGTTTTGCTGCGTGTGGCCTCAGCTGTCATTGTTAACGTGGAGGACGCTGACTTTGTGTTGAGGACGGCCCAGAGCAGAAGGCCTCGAGAGCTTTGGGTTCATTAAGGTCGTGCACGGATCGCTTGGTTTCCCCTTCATTTCAGTAATGTCTGATCGCCGAACCTCCCACTGCCTGAGATAGTCATCTCTGCCATTGTCCAATTTCTTTCCAGTTCGGTTCGGAAGCAGTAAAATTGACAAAGAGCTGATCAACCGCATAGAGAGGGCCATTGGCCAGAAGCCGCACCACTTCCTGCGCAGAGGCATCTTCTTCTCGCACAGGTCAGGGGCCTATTGGCGCAGAGCTTCTCAGCCCTCTTCTCTAATTCCAGAGATGACTGGGAGGCCACCTGAGACTGGGGGGAGAGTAGTAGCTGCTTGTCAGGCGACGGGGGTGCCCTTTCTGTCCAGCTAGTAACTGTCTGCAGGATCAGGCCATCCCTTCACCTCCGGCCCTTAGTTTATTCATTTGGAGGCTGCCCACCTCACGAGGTCGAGGTCAGGTACATAGCAGATGAGATTCATGCCGGATTATGTGCTATAAATTATAAAATGTCATAAAAACAAAAGAGATTAATATGTCCAAGTTGAGTGTTTCCTGCACGATAAGCAGTAGGCTTCCTGAAATTATGTACCCTCTTCCTCCTATTCTACTGGCCTGCTCACAAATAATATCAAAAAAGAAACTAATGGAGTATCCATGGAACAGAGTTTGCCTACCTTAGACCATAAATTCCATGCAGATAACATCAGAAAATAGGCAGGTTCCAAAAGGGTTCCTGTCTCTCCCACCCACAGGTGACCTCAGGTTGAGGCCGGCCTGCTTTTGAGGCTGTGTTCTTGGAGTTTATAGTCCGAGGTAGGGCTGTTCTATTCTGCTCGAGCTTTACGGTCACAGAAGAGCACACACAGGACAGAACTCGGCAGTCTGCCCGAACACTTCAAATTCTCTGTGCAGAGAACTCCAAGCCCCACTCGGTCCTCCTTCTGGGCATAATACAATCAAAGCTTTTTCCTTAATTGAGATTTAATTCACCTTTTTGAAGTCTACAGTTCAGTGGTTTTTAGTATGTGCACAAGGGTGTGCAGCATCACCATCTAATTCCAGAACATTTTCATCACCCCCAAAAGAGACCCCCTACCCATTAGCAGTCGCTCGGCATTCTTCCCTTCCCCCCGCCACCACTGGCAACCACCAGTCTGCTTTCTGTGTCTATGGATTTGCCTATTCTGCACATTCCATATAAGTAGAATCATACAATATGTGGCCTTTTGTGTCTGGCTTCTTTCACTTAGCATCATGTTTTCAAGGTTCCTCCATGTTGTAGCATGTGTCAATACGTCGTTCCTTTTTATACCTTAATAATGTTCCACTGAATAGATACACCCCAAATTTTGTTATCCATTCATCAACTGACAGACATTTGGGTTATTTTCACTTTTTGGTTATCAATAATGCTGCAAACATTTGTATACAAGTTTTTGTGTGGACATGTATTTTCACTTCTCTAGGGTGTGTACATGGGAGTGGAATTGCTGGGTCATAAGGTAACTGTGTTTAACTTTTTGGAGAACTGCCAAACTGTTTTCCACAGTGATTGCATCATTTTGCAGTGTACAAACAAGGGTTCCCATTTCTCCGCATCCTCGCCAACACTTATTATTTTCCATGTTGTGTTTGTTTTTATAGCCATCCCAGTAGGCATGAAGTAGGATCTCATTGTAGTTTTGATTTGTATCTCCCTAATGACTGATGACATTGAGCATCTTTTCATGTGCATGTTGGCTATTTTTGTATATCCTTTGGGGAAATGTCTATTCTAATCCTTGGCCCACTTTTTAATTGGATTGTTTATCTTTTTATTATTGAGTGATACTAGTTCTCTTTATATATTCTGGATAGTAGTTTCTTATCAAATATATGATTTGCAAATATTTGCTCTCGTTATGTAGATTGTCTTTTCACTTTATTGACAGTATCCTTTGAAGCACAAAAATTTTTAATTTTGATGAAATCCAATTTATTTTTTTCTGTGGTTGCTTGTGCTTTTGGTATCGTATCTAAGAAACTGTTGCCTAATCCAAGGTCATGAAGATTTATGCCTGTGTTTTCTTCTAAGAATGTTATGGTTTGGGCTCTTGCTTTTAGGTCTCTGATCCATTTTGAGTGAATTTTTGTGAGGTAGGATATCCACTTTCCCAGCACCATTTGTGGAAGACTGTTCTTTCCCTATTGGATTTTCTTCGCACCCTTGTTGAAAATCAGTTAACCATATATTAAAGGGTTTATTAAATGTACTACAGAATCTTGATGACTGCAGCTTTATAGTAAGTTCTGACAATGGAAAGTGTTGAGTCCTCCAGCTTTGTTCTTTTGAAGATTATTTTGGCTAGTCTAGGTCCTTTGCATTTCCAAATGAATTTTAGGATCAACTTGCTAATTTCTGCAAAAAAGGCAGCTGGGGTTTTAATAAGGATTGCACTGAATCTGTAGATCAATTTGGGAAGTATTGCCATCTTAAAGTATTAAGTCTTCCAGTCCATGCACATAGTTGTCTTCCCACTCATTTAGGTCTATAGCCTCTTTCAGGAATGCTTTATAGTTTCAGTGTACAAGTCTTGCACTTCTTTGGTTAGATTTATTCCTAAGGTTTTATTCTTTTTGATGGTGTTGTAAATAGCATTTTCTTAATTCCATTTTTAGATTGTTCATTGCTCCTTCTGAGGGAAAGACACATTCTTGCATTTCTCCTGTCTCTCAGCCATCTTCTACAACTGCACTGCACTTCTGACACAGGATGTGTGGGGTTTTCACACCTAACTTAACGGTTAAGTTAGCAGTTTACCATTCTCACTGCCCTTGTGACTTGTTTATTACTTCAGTGTAGTCATCGTGTAGGCTCTTGGCTTAGGGAGGCATAGGACTTGAAGCTTTTGGCATTCTCAAATTTGAGAACGCCTCTCTGTCTAATTTTATCTCCTGAAAAATAAGGGGTTAGGTGAGATCTACCACGGCCTGTAGTGACTGGGCCCCCTCACCAGCTGGGCGGGTCCCTGCTAGAAACCAGAATGGGCCTCAGTCAGTTGCCCACACTCCTCTCCTCAGGACAGCACACACAGTGAGTCCCCAGAGACTCCCACAGAGGCATCGAGAGTAGCTCATGTGACAGCTGCATTTTCTTCTCTTCTATAAGCCCATAAAAGTTTTATTTGGTTCATTGTGAGAACCAAAGAAGGACTTGTTTCTTCCAAAATTAAGTTTTTTATTCTTTCCTTATTTCAAAAGCAGTGTGATCATTCCATGGGGGAAGAAAATCAAAACTAAGCACAAAAAAACAGAATACTCATAATCCTATCTGCCCAGAGGTGAGCACTGTTAACCTCTGGCTTGGGGAGTAAGGAAAAGTCACTTTTAGAATACTGTTGTGTGGATTCTCCTTCCCAGACCTCTGGAAAAGGTGGCTTTTTCTTGTATTTTAGGCCACTTTGCCCAGAAACAAAGAGCATTCACAGCTAGAAGGGTGCCAAATAGTGCAATCACTGGGGCGTTGGGGGTGCTTTTAAAGGTACAAATTCCCAGACGTTACACCACACCCGCACAATCAGAATCTCTGAAGGTTGGGCCCAGGCAAATGTGGTGTGGAAACAGCCGGCCAGATGATTCTGATGCACAACCAGGAAGGGGGACCCTTCATGTGCATTGTCTGTGGACGCCAGTCCTAGGGGAGGGCAGATGATTCCACAATGACTGCCAGATGAAGACACCTGGTCCCAGCCTGGCTGAGGGAGCCCAACTCAGATCTCCAGCTGGGGACTTCACCTCTAAAGTCCTGGGGGACGTTCCTTACTCCCCTCTCTCAGTCAGGACTGTATGGAACCCTGCTATTTCCCCAGCCTGGTCTCCAGAGTCTCAAGGCTGGGTGATTCTAAACGAAGATTGTGCAGTGTTGGCCTGGTGTCCCTCCCAGGAAAGCAGGTGTAAAGCAGATGGTGCATCGACATGGATATTTGGAAGAATTCCAAAAGAGTTCCAGTGGCTACCCAACCGTATCCATCTTTTAAACACGTTATTCGAAACCTGCATGTAGAACAATCACAGGAGAAACCATTTCAGTAGAAGTTTCTTGTCGTTTTGATAACATAAGCACCAAGGATAACAAACTAGTTATTATCCGTGTTATTTTATCTGTCATTCCCAAATGAGCATTAGCACCTTGATTTTTTTTCTCTAAAATCACACTATTTCCTTTTCTCCTTTTTCCTTTAGAGATATGAATCAAGTTCTCGATGCCTACGAAAATAAGAAGCCATTTTATCTGTATACGGGCAGAGGCCCCTCTTCCGAAGCAATGCATCTAGGTCACCTCATCCCATTTATTTTCACAAAGTAAGTATTGCATCGTATGACTTTTCTCACTTTTATTAGTGAATCGGGAATGTTAGTTGTAAACTGTGTCTAGAACCGACAAGACAGTACTAGTTCATGTTTGCTGAACAATCAAGGTCCTAGGGACTTGGCACCTTTGTGGCTTCTGTTCTCTCTGTTCCGGGTGTCACTTTAGGAGAACGTGACGTGATGGAGAGAGCACAGACCTGTTTCCTCCTCCTCCCTGTCCCTGTGACCATAGGAGACTTTCTTCTCTGAGCCTTAGTTTCTGCATCTGTAGGAGGGAAATAACACCCACCCCATAAATTATTCTAAGGCTTCAGAATAAAGAACATAAAGCGGCTAGCACAGAGCTGATGTGCAGGGCCCTCCAAGTTAGCAAATAGGAGTAGCCCTCATTCTGATCAGTAAGATCATGCAGTTCTGGAGACAAGGAAGCTTTGATGTACATTGTTAGCAGGAACTGTGTTTTCAAATGCAAAATGGCCTTTTTATGCAGGGGAAATGAGCTCTCCGCCTTCTTCCTGTGTGTCTCTTAGGTGGCTGCAGGACGTGTTCAACGTGCCCTTGGTCATCCAGATGACGGACGACGAGAAGTACCTGTGGAAGGACCTGACCCTGGACCAGGCCTACGGCTATGCTGTAGAGAATGCCAAGGACATCATTGCCTGCGGCTTTGACATCAACAAGACTTTCATCTTCTCTGACCTTGACTACATGGGGTAAGAAGAAAACGTGTGGCTGCTTTTTAAATAAATAGATGCAGACAGCAAGTCGTCATGACCATAGCTAAACCTGAAATATCTGAAGTGATCTTAAGGCCTGGTAAATGTGGAGTGGCCGTGAGTCACAGCAAGTCTGGCCCGTGAAATAGGGTTAGATGAGACTATCACTGTCATCATTGTTATCATTTCCATGGTTCTTTATTTTATTTCTCTCCCCCCATTCCTTAAAACAACCTGATTCCGCTGCTTGAACCCCTAGACACACCATGGGTTCTGCTGCTCATTTTAGGACAAGGCAGCGTTGGGTAGCCCAGTCCCTAGCGCACGTTTGTGCAGCCTCTTCCCACCCACCGTGGCCCCTCACAGCCTCAGGTCCCCCACCAGCCAGCACTCTCTGTAAACGCACATCTGGTCCTGGCCCCCAGTCACACCCTTCCTGGTTCTCCATCATCATTGGGGTGAAGTTCTTACTTTCCACTTGGCACACAAGCCCTTTTGTGATCTCGCCTGTGTTCCTCTCCAGCGTCACTGCCACCTCCTCTAGATGGAACGGTTTCCAGTTCCTCATCCTCACTTTGTCCATGCTCTTCTCTGCCCAGAGGTCCCCTCCCTAACCCACCACTCCTGGCTCAGCGGAATCCTACGCTTTCTTCCAAACACGTGATCAAGCATCGCCTTTTCCTGGGAGCTCTCCCTCCCACAGCCAGAGTTAGATGCCCCTCCCCCGGTCCCCCAGCAGCCCGTGCTCCACCTCCCCCACATCTGCTGCAGTGTGAGGGGTGGCCCTGTCCCACGAGGTCAATAAAGCAAACAGTCACAGAGTGCTATGGCAGGTGCCCTCGGAGGCCCTGCGAACACAGCAGTGAGCACACCAAGTCCCTGCCTTGCTGAACTTAGATGTTGGTGGGGCAGAAACAAACCTCTAAAACGCCCGTGAAGATGACTCCATGGGTGGGCATGCAATGGGGGTGGGGGGCGAACCTTTGAACAGTCCGCATGAAAAGACCACCACATGAGCCCCCCCTATTTTAAGCACCTTCTGAGAGAGAACGTGGGGTCTGGGCAGCTGTTTCTCAAGCTGTCTTCTTTTTGGTGACTGGGGTTTCACATCTTCCACCTTTGCTTGGTGAGAACATCCTTTGTGTTTGCAAACATGGGAGGAAAGATGAAAGCCCAGACGGCGTGTAAGCCCAGGGTCTCTCCTTTCTCTTCTCAGAAAGGCATCTTGTGTTTGACCTCAAGTTAGGAGAGACTTGTAAAAGTTAAAGCCTGGGGCCGGCCCCGTGGCTTAGCGGTTAAGTGCGCGCGCTCCGCTGCTGGCGGCCCGGGTTCAGATCCCGGGTGTGCACCGACGCACCGCTTCTCCAGCCATGCTGAGGCCGCGTCCCACATACAGCAACTAGAAGGATGTGCAACTGTGACATACAACTATCTACTGGGGTTTTGGGGAGAGAAAGGAGGAGGATTGGCAACAGATGTTAGCTCAGAGCCGGTCTTCCTCAGCAAAAAGAGGAGGATTAGCATGGATGTTAGCTCAGGGCTGATCTTCCTCACAAAAAAAAAAAAAAATTAAAAAGATTAGCAACAGATGTTAGCTGTTAGCTCAGAACCGGTCTTCCTCAGCAAAAAGAGGAGGATTAGCACGGATGTTAGCTCAGGGCTGATCTTCCTCACAAAAAAAAAAAAAAAGTTAAAGCCTGTTTTCAAATGTCTTACTCCCTTTAAGTTTCTTCTAAATACTTGAGCATTTTACTCTTTTTCTTACAATTTAACTCAGATTTAACGAAGCCCCTTCCTGGTCTGTAGGAGCTGGAAAGACAGCAGAGCCAGCTCCACCCCCTCTTTGGGTGGGGGGGTGTGGCAAGGGCTCCATGGGGACAGAGTCAGTGGCAGGCAGGCAGCTTCCCCACCCCGTCCCCCTCAGGGTTCTGACCCCCCATGTGGGCCCAGAGAGGCCTTCCTGCTGGGCGTCCCGAGGGACAGAAGGACACGCACCAGGAATCTGAAAGCTGGTGTTGCAGGCCCAGCTCTGCTCCTGGTTGGTTCGGCAAGTCCTTGGCTTCTCTGAGCCTCCGTTGTCCTGGGAAGTGGGGCCCGTGAGAGGCAGGCAGTCTAGCGGAGGGGTGCAGAGTGCTCTGCCGGGATCCACATCCTGACCCCCACATGGTGTGATCGGTGGTGACCTGCCTCCTCTCTGCCTGCTCGCTCGGCTCATTTATTCAGCAGGGGTTTATCGAGCATCTACTAGATGCCAGACTGGTGCTGGGGTCGCGGCAGCCAACACGGCAGTTACCCACCAGCTGTGTCGGTTATCCTCTCACGGGGAGAGTCAGCTGGTTAACAGATAACGTGCCCGGGGATCGTGCGTGTGGTGAGGACAAAGGAAGGGGCTTCTGTGGTCGGGAGGGAACGGCACCTGGGCTGCAGGGCGTTATGAGGCCTGCGTGGGTTACTGCATGTGAAGTGATTCCAGCAGTGCCGGCTCCTGGTGAGCGCTCGGTGCATGTCACTCTGAACCTCTGACACTGTAACCCTCTCTGTGCCTGTGGAAGGGATCTAGGAGGGCTTCTTTAAGGCGTCTGAATGTGAAGGGCCAGTGTTCTCCCCGGGGGCAAACTGTGGTGTTCACCCGCCATCTGTGGGATGCAGCCGGGTCTGTTTTCTGTCACCAGGGGCAAAGCCTCGGGCTGCGGGCACTGGGTCACACTGTGTGGGCACTGGCGTGTGCCCGGGGAACCAGTGTCCCTCTGGGGAGGGCTGCTGCTCACGGTGCGGCCCCGCACTCATCCTGCAGCCTGAGCACCGCGGCGAGGAAGTGACCTGTCTTCCAAGAAAGGTCAGGGTGGTCTTCAGGAATACTGCTCAAACACCAGGGAGCTGGAGTCCGGAGTCATGTGGGGTCCTGTAGACTCCCTCCTTGTGGGGCCCTGGGGGCCGTCTTGTGCAGCATGACCCCAGCCAGAGGGGTGGCCCACCTGGCTGATCTGCGCTGGAGCGTTTACAGTTGCCCCCACCCCAGGGACTCGTGGAGTCGTTGCTGCAGCCATCTCCCCCAGGTGGAAACAGCTGCTTGTCCCGGCCGGGTGTGAGCAGCGTGAGGCCTGCTGCTGCCCTGCGTGCAGGCATGCCTGTTTCAGCAGACGACAAACGGGCACCTTTCCAGGCGGCTGCTGCGCTCTGCTCTCCTTTGTTTCCATCACCCTGAGTGGGGGACCCAGGCTGGGCCTACTTGGCTTGTTGCGGTGCTCGTGGTGCATCATCTCTGGTCTTCTCTCTGTAGCACTGTCCCCACCCTGACCAGTGCCTCCAGGGTTGGAACTTGGCAGGCCGGCCGCCGCTCAGTAAAAGCCACCTCCCGCTCCCTGTCCCCATCCCTGTCCCCATGCCCGTCCCCCTGCTGAGTGGGCCTCTGCTCAACTCGGAACAGACCCTGGTGCGAGACTGTCTTTGCCCACCTCCCTGCCTCCTGGCTGCCCCTCACCCAGGCAGCCAGTGTCCCTGCTCCTCTGACGCTTCACCTGTCTGCCCAAAGACATTCGGTAGTTGTCCGCCCTGGGCCAGAAGTCTTCAGCTCCTCAAGCTGTGAGATGGGGTGAGACAAGCACAGGCTTTGGGGCCAGACGAGCCTGGGTTTGGATCCCAGCTCCTGTAGCCACTAGGTCTGCGACATGACCGGTAACCTCTCTGAGCCTCCATCTCCATCTGTAAAGTGGAGGCGAAGCTGCCACCTGGACTGGCAGTGTTAACATGTGCGCGGTGCTTAACACAGCTCCTGCCACGCTCTGCAAGCACTTAGGAAACGTTCGCTTTCTCACTTTCTCCCTTTGTATCCTGACGGTGCCTGACACTTGGCAGGGCCTAGGCAATAAAGCTGCTGAATGCGTGAGTCAAAAGATGTAGTGTGAGAAGCCACTCTGGGTTCTGCCGCCTCCCTGTATTTGCTTTATCCTCAGCCTGGTTTCCTCTGGTAACAGAACGGCTGCCACAGATAGAGGCCTCTTATCCACATGCGCTTACCATCCAGAAGAAAGAGTCTGGTTGGTTGAACCACCACTGTGGCCCAGCCCTGTTGCTGGGGATGGGGCCATCCTGCCCAAACGGCACGGCTGCCCCACCGTGGAGGTAGCAGTGGTGGCCGGATATGGGGAGAACCCGCTGCACTGAGACAAGCCCTCCTTCATGGACCCATCCGTTGCTATCCAGATGCCTCATCTAGCGACAAGTTGTAAATTGTCTTCCATAATACACAACACCGTCTGTCTCAACAGAAAAGCTCCCTTGGGGGTCCCAGACTTGAAGTCCACAGCACGCTCAACCACTGACCCTGGCAGAATTTACCTGTTTCGTGTTGGCCGCTGGGTCTGAATCTGGCTGTGTTCTTAGCTCCCCTGCTTGTCGTCTCGAATTGGTTTCACGCTGGTTTCCACCCTTCCCGGTCCACTTTGCCTGCTGCAGGTACCTTTGCCTACCACTGGCTTCTGGGCACCTTCCTCCCAGGCTGTGTCCTCGCCCATATCTGGCCCACGCAGGTTTTCCCATCTGCTACTTTGCCCTCGGCGGGAGGCCGCCCTCTGAACCTGGGGTTTGATTCTGGTGTCTTTGCAGGTCGAGCCCAGAATTCTACAGGAACGTGGTGAAGATTCAGAAGCACGTCACCTTCAACCAGGTGAAAGGCATCTTCGGCTTCACCGACAGTGACAGCATTGGTAAGGAGCCGAGGCGGCCCCGCCCCTGTCAGAAAGGAGCGGCACTGGGTGCTGGGGTGGTGGACGTGGTGTCTGCCCTGGGCCGAGCTGTCGCTGAGATGGGAGCATGTGCCGTCTGTCTCTAAGTAGTAAACCCAGAGGTGGGTTTTCCCGTAACGTAAAGAGCTAGGGCAGTGCCTTCAGCCACATTTCTGGGCCATGTGGAGCTGTACTTCAGGATACCATCTGTCCCTCTCCTCAGTCCTCCATTTTAAGGTTTAGAAGAAAGAAAGAAAAGAGTAGAGGTGATTTTGACCTGCCATAATTGTCTCCCTGGACCTCAGTGTCCCCACCTGGAAGGAGGGGCTTGACTGGAGCCCTGTGGAGCCCGCCCCGCCCCCAGCTGATGGGCACATGTTTGCCTGCCCTGTGCATGTTTATGGGCCTTTCCAGAGAGTTCCACACCTCTTTCAGATGCGTTGCCTTCTCTCCTTTTCTTGACCTAAGAATCAATCCTTGAGACTGCTGGCTGGGTCTCCTGATCCCCCACACACCCAGGACAGTTCCAGGATGTGCCCGCAGCGCTATGCCCTGCTGGGAGGGAGCCCGTTCCAGGGCCTGTCAGTGAGGGCCTGCAAGGATAGGTGCCGAGGGAGATGCCACCGAGAGGCCTTGCTGGGAGGCTTGGCACACAAGCAAACCTTTCCCTCGGTGTCTCAGTCAGATTCCTTCCCAACAGTTGGGGCATGAACCCTGTGCTTTTGAAAGAGCTTTCTCCTTGGAGTCCCAGCCTGCAGAGGGAAGACGTCTCAGTGGAGGCTGCGCTGAGCGAGTAGGGAGACAGTGGACATAACGAATAGCTGCACACACTTCGCTCCAGGGGACCTGGTTTGAATCCCGGCTCAGCCAACTGCTTGCTGTGTACTAGCTGTGGCAAGCTGTGTACACCTTGAGCCTGGAGGTCCGCAGTGTAAAATGGGGGCGATGCTGGCACCTTCTCGTCAAGTTGTGAGGAGCAGAGGAGCCAGGGAATGCCCTGAGCATGGAGCCTGGCCCCCACATGCAGGGAGTAGCCACCGCTGCTCTGCTTTAACGGGGCGCTGGTGGCGAGGGCAGCCATCCCTTGGTCCCCCAGAGAAAAACAGGAACCCAGAAATGGGTGTCTCTTTCTGAGGTGGGCAGAAAACAGCTGCTAGGAGAGAGCATCGCAGAGACAGGACTTTCAGAGGAGAAGAGAAGCAGCGCCCCCGAGCTCGCCCTGCGGTGCCGGAGCAACAGCCAGGGGCACGTTCTCAGCACCAGCTGAAGCCCGACTGCCAGCCAGCCCCGGGATGCCTGGGCGGGCACTACCCAAGTGGCACGGCTGGGGTGGACTGGCGCAACACCACTTGTCAAGGGTCATACAAAGGTCCATGCCCTCTGACCCATAAGTTCTGCTTTTGTAGGTCTAAGCGAGTAGCAAAGCAGTGTTAACAGCAACAACTTCCAAAACATTGAGAACAGTTTTGTGTACCAAGGTATCATAGTTTATAATAATTAAAGAGGAGGAACCACCCAAATGCCCGGTGGGTAGAGAACAGCTAAATACTGTGTGACAGGAATCTGGGACAGAATCCATTCAGCAGCAGCGTGGGAGGGTGGCACAAAGGGGAAGAGGTCAGGAAAACTGAAGAGTGTGACCACAGACCGCACAGAGTGAAACAGAAGACAGTGAAAAGAGCCCCCAACTGAGACTGTCGGTTTCGTCCTTTTACTTTTCTGTGTTTTTCAGATTTTCTTTAATGATTATTACTTTTCTAATGGGGAGAAAGCCTATATTTGTCCATCCCTGTCACTGGGTTAATCAGCCAGAATAGGAATTGGTCTCGTGTGTGACAATATTCTGTCCTTGCTTTCAGGGAAGATCAGCTTTCCTGCCATCCAGGCTGCGCCCTCCTTCAGCAACTCCTTCCCTCAGATCTTCCAGGACAGGACGGACATCCAGTGCCTCATACCCTGTGCCATCGACCAGGTCAGGAGGACAGCTGGGCTTTCCCGGTCGGGGGCTGTGCAGAGGGTTCCTTGTGCTCTTCCGTGGCGGTTTCCCGTGAGGGCCCGCTTCGTGCTGCTCACTGGCTGAAGGCTGGCCCGTCCTTCCAGCTGTCCTCAAAAGGCCCCTCTCCCCACAGGACCCTTACTTCAGAATGACGAGAGACGTCGCCCCCAGGATCAGCTATCCTAAACCAGCCCTGCTGCACTCGACCTTCTTCCCTGCCCTGCAGGGGGCCCAGACCAAGATGAGCGCCAGCGACGCCAACTCCTCCATCTTCCTCACAGACACGGCCAAGCAGATTAAAAACAAGGTGAGCGCGGCCGGGGGCGGAGGGGCAGCCTGTGCGAGCAGAGCCACGCCTGAGAGAGACGCACACTCACGCATGCACACGCACCACCACTCTGCTTTGGGCGTCCACTACACAGGGATGCTGAACTCCAGGATCAGTAACTGCTCCCTGCTAACTCGAGGCAGCCTGTCCCTGTTCCCGGATTTCAGGTGAATTTGTTTTGTTTGCCCTTTCATTTAGGCAATACTGTAGATTTTTTTTCTTTTCTTTTCTTCTCTGCTTTTCTCACCAACCCTCTGCTCTGGAAGCAAACTCATGCCAGTTTCCTTTAAAGTTACTATTGAACAATAGAAAAAATATTCCCACATTTCTCAGCGCCAGCTGTAATCCAGGAGCCGGACCAGGTGCTTTGCTTGTGTTTTTTGGTTTTATTTCTCACTGGGAGGTCGTCGTGTGTTCCTTTTAACGATGAGAAGGTTGAGGCCCAGAGAGGAGGCCCAGCTTGACCTAGTTTCCATGAGCAGAAACCAGCGAGTGCCCTCCTGGCCCAGGAGCAGCCATTACCAAGGTGGGGCTTGGGGCTGAGTGTTCTCCCTGAGGCCGGAACTGACGGATGTCCCCCGACAGGACAGTCGTGTCAGCCTGGGAGTGCCGCGCCCGGCCAGTACACAGTGGGCGCCCAGTAAATGCTGGTCGAATCACCAGAGAAACTGAAAATAGGAGTTAGTTTGAACTTTCTTACTTGTCAGGGCTGCACTTCTGTTGCTCGGTACTGAATTGCCAGTGTGTGTGTGCTCCCCTCGCTGTTCCACAGAGCTGTTGACGTTTCATTTGGAACCAAGTGTGTCTTTGCGGGTTGGACGATCACAGTAGGAATAACAGAAACTGTATTTGAGGCATGTAGTGCAACCATCTGAGACACCACCGGCCCCTGACCCTTGTGGAGAGCCCCGAGCAGGTTCTGGCCAACAATGGGGAGAGCGTTCCTATCAAAACTTTCATCCAGAAAATGGCCGTCACCACTTCTCCACCCTCGGTTTGAAGCTGGTATAAACGGCTTTTTCTTTCCCTTTCACTTCTGGCTGAAACTTCTAGAGCACAGAGTGCAGAGGAGGGGAGGGGAAGCTCCTGTTCCCTGCGGCAGAGAAGTCATTTGGTTTTGTTTTTGAGAAGTGGTTTTAAAGAAGTCATTTATGGCTCCGGGGCATTTTTCATTCACTTAGGGACCAGCAGAGACCCCGAGGGCTGGGTGAGCAGTGAGTGTGAGGTCAGGAACCACATAGGCTGCAGAGGCCACAAGGGTCACGAGGCCTGCGGGGCGGGACAGGCTCAGGCCAGGCCCTGGTTCTCAGTCCCCAAGCCCACCTTCCGCTCCAGAATCAGAACCTCCACACAGCCGAGCCCCTCCCAAGAATGACAGCAGCCATGCCAGGGACACGCCGCCAGGCCGTGGTCACCTGCCCTTGCTCACCTGGGATCTCCTGGAGTCCCAACAAGCCCCCGGTGGCTGTGTCCATTTGGTAGGCGAGGAAATCAAGGATCAGGCAGCTTCCCTACGTTCACACAGCTGGAAGCAGTGGGCCAAGACCGTGACCCAGCTCCACCACTGGTGGCCTTCCGTGGCCTGGAGTCCAGAGCCCTGCTTGTCTCGGCCCTGCCACTTACCTGCTGTTGCCAAGCGACCTTGGCTCTCGGTGTCATTTGTGAAGTGGGAGCAGCTCTACCAGCTTCCTAGACTTGAGGCTTACGTGAGATCACATATGAAAAGTGCTTGTAAACTGTAGCGTGCTGCCCAAATTTAAGATTGTAGTTTAAAAAGTGAATAGTTGGACAGCTCCTTTATAGCGCAGGCCAAAACATGCCTTCCCAGGCTGTCACCTGGGCCCTGTCAGAGCCCACAGGCAGACCCTTCTGCAGCAGCGCTTGGAAGTGTGGAGTCTCCCCTTTTCTAGGACGAATGTCTAATAGTTTGCCAGCCTGGCCACCCAGTTGTGATTTCTGGTCACAAGACCCCTTTAGTGCCCGTTCCCACGGCTGGCCTCCAGCTCTAGGGTCAGAGGTCCCGTGGCACATCCCCACCCTGGGTCTGGGGGCTCCTGGAGGCCAGCTCAGCCGTCCCATTGGATTGTAGTAGCCCAAGCCCACTGGCTCTTGGGGCTGGAGGGTTGAATCAAGTCCTCCATCCCTCCACCCTGACACACTTGGCATAGTTTCCTGTTACACTGAATTATGCTGAATCATGCTGGTTTCGGTAGTGCACCTCACTTGCTTCTGTCATTTTGGGTCCTGCCAGCAGCATTCTGGGCCCCACAACCAACACTGCCCTCCACCCTAACTCAAACCTATTCTCCTGTTGGTTTCCTGTAAGTCAGGCCCCAGCATCACTGAGGACTGGCCAGGTCCAGCACCAGGCTGACTTAAGCCACTCTCGGCAGCCTTGGTGTCCCAGGAAGAGTGAGCCAGGCTCCACCCCAACTGCCGCAGACAACAGCTTCTGGACACTCTCGCCTCCTTACTTCACCTGTAACATGGAGAAGGCAATATCGAGGTCACTGGGGCATCAGGGATTAAATGTTTGTAATAATGATGACAGCCGCCATTAACGGCGAGTCTGCTGTGTGCCACTATTGGCACGAGAGGCCTGCCCGGGGGGAGTGATGTGCAGGAGGCGGGCAGTGCCCTGGCTTCTTGGAAAATGAGCAGCAGACATGCCCTTCCTCGTCCTTCTCTCAGACAAAGACTGGGAACTGTCCCCGGGCCCTTGGAGCCTGGGAGACTCTGTCCTCAAGACTGTTCCTGGCACTGGAGCGCCTTCCCCGAGGCCCAGCACTGGCCTGGCCTGGGAGTCTGCGCCCAGGAAGATGCCTGTGCAGGCAGGGGCCACCACACGGCCAGTGACTCCGTGAGACACACAGCACCTGCCCAAGGGCACACAGCCCTCAGGAGAGGCTGATACCAGGTGGTTTTCTCTTCTTTCTGTATATTTTGTGTTTTTCATAGTTTTTGCAGTTCGCATACATTGATTTTATTTTATCACTTGCTCTTTTTTGTTAAGAAAAGGAAAGTTGAGACTTATTGTCTTTATTTTTCCTGCCCCCGGCCCACGCACCAGCAGCCACCTTTCACCAACTTCCCTTTGTACAGGGCCTCACCCAAGCATCTCTGGCAGCTTCCTCTTTCCCTGAGCAGCCCTTAGCGGCGCCCTCCAGAAGGAGATGGGATTCCCTGGCCTCACTTGTGCCCGACAGCCTCTGCCCCTGACCCTGACGTTCCTCTGCTTCTTCCAGATGACCCCAGTACCCAGTTAGTAATCTGCCCTGGGCTCCTTCTGGGGAGACTTACTAAATGTCTCAACTTAGGAATTATTGACTCCACACACCCTTCTCCCCATTAAAAATAAAATTAGTGTGACATTTGTGTATAGTAGGTTTCTCAAATACTTGTTGAAAGAACATTGAAGGAACTTTGTCTATCCTTTTTGGCGTTGCTCTCGTCTCTTGGCCCTGATTTCTCCAAGATTATCTTCAATAATTCCTAAAAACCATTTTGGTAGTTTCTGAGTCTGTCTTTTTTCAGCTCCTGAATTTGCATGTCTTCAGGTGGGGCCCAGCCTGCGGGCTCTGTCTGCCTCCACACGTCTCATGGGTTCTGCTTTCCCTTACGAGCCGTGTTCTTGTGCCTCCCGTTCTCCTTTCCCGGTGGAGAAGGCAGCAGCCAAGCTGGGTCGGGGGCTGCTCTCGTGTCCTCTGTTAACAGCACACCCACCCCGGCAGCAGCTGCCTCTTCGTGTCGTCTGTTTTACTCTGAAGATGTCTCCTCCTCTCTCTGGAGCTCATTACCTGAGAACACTTTAGGACATTTCCCCCAAATTTCAACACAGTTAGGGGTTTGGTTTTCCCAACTCTATTCTGTGTCTGAGGGGAGAGGGGACTTCAAAGCTCCTCTGCCCTCCCTTCCCCCCTTCTCTGCAGGGAGCCCCAGTGTGGCTCGTACCCAGGCTTGGCAGGAAGGAGCCTTTTGTGGGGCGCCTCCCACTGTCCGTGAGCCTCAGCCTCCCTCTGGTCAGGCTCTGATGGGCAGAGCAGTTGCCAGCCTGGCTTCCAGTACTCAGGCTCCCGGCCAGTTTCCACATGCAGGGCAGCCGGGACTGACCAGCGTATCTGTGTCGTCTTGCTGGTGCAGGTCAACAAGCACGCCTTTTCTGGAGGGAGAGACACCGTTGAGGAGCACAGGCAGTTTGGGGGCAACTGTGATGTGGATGTGTCCTTCATGTACCTGACCTTCTTCCTTGAGGATGATGACAGGCTCGAGCAGATTCGAAAGGTGAGACGGGAGGCCAAACCGCCCTGAAAGGTTCTGGCAGCCGTGCTTAGGGTGGCCAGAACTTCCTCAGCACCTGGGCCTTAAGAGCTGGCGCTCAAGTGAGACAAAATTGAGTAGGTGGATCATGTTTTTAACCATGTGCCAAGGAACTTTATGAACAGATAGCTCACAAAAGAGAAAGTACAAACTGCTATTTAGAACCCACAGAAAGCTTTAATCTCCCTGGCGATCAAAGAAATATAAGTTAAAACAAGACACCAAGAAAGTGGAGATGACTCCCCTCCCGAGCCAGTGGGGCTTGTGTTTGCGCTGGTTGTTAGCAGGTGAGCCGAGTGTTCGCACACGGCCCCTCGGCGAGCAGTTTGTGGTGGGTACATAGAGCGCAAGGAGTCTTCATAGCCTGTGCCCCGGGTTCTCCATTTCCTGGGATCTTTTCCAAGGAAGTAATCCTAAATAAGAAAGAGCTCTCTGTACCAAGATGTTGAAAACGATAACAGCAGCAAGTTCAGCACAGACTGCACAGCAGAGGAGACGTGCGCTGAGTGGTCACGGGGTGGGTGAGCGTGCAGGCGTGAGGTTGTAGTGACACGGGCGATGTGCCTAGGATAGTGGTGGAAGGTACCAAACTGGAAATGCAGTGAGATCAACTGTGCTTCAATAAAATGCACCGGGAAGAAAATCTAAAAGAAAACGTGCCAGAACGTTAACAGGACCCTCAACCTAGGTCTCGGCTGTGCGGGGGACTTTCCCTCTGCTTGGTGCTGCTTTGTGGTTCGGGTACTTGATGAAGTTTGTGCCACGGATACATATCACTCCCACAGTCAGAAAATGGAAAATATCCAGCAAGAATTTTAGAGAAGCGGGTGAGGCTGAAGGGAGCAGTCACTTGTTCCTCTGCCTGTAGCCCGTGAGCTGGCAGGGAGGGCGGGCAGGGTGCAGTGACACTTCCTGTTCCTTCCCCTGTGTAGAGCGGGTCACAGCCACTCGTCAGAGCCGGGCTCTAGTTATTTTAAGAAAGCGTGGTTTAAGGTACAGGTTCTTGTACTTCTGGGCGCCGCCCGTGCACCAGGCTCTGCATGGGGGGGGGGGGGGCCTGGGCAGGTGCCCAGAGCAGGGAGGTGCCCAGGGTGTGGGGAGCGATTCTCATTGTGGTCTGTTTCCTCCGGGGCAGGATTACACCAGTGGAGCCATGCTCACCGGCGACCTCAAGAAGATACTCATTGAGGTCCTGCAGCCCTTGGTGGCTGAGCACCAGGCCCGGCGCGAGGCAGTCACAGACGAGATAGTGAAAGAGTTCATGACCCCCCGGAAGCTGTCCTACGACTTTCAGTAGCGCTCATTTTATGCCATCAGCACCCCAGCTTAATCGAATCACCGCTCCCCTAGGCCCTGCCCCATGGTGATTACTGGCCTCGGGTCTTTCGGCCCGTGTGTGTCAATACTGCTTCTGTGAGCGTCATCCTGTCCGTCCCTTGTGAGCAAAACCCTGTGGGGTGATTGGTGCCGTGTAGCGTTGTGTGGTCAGACAGACCAGTCTAGCTGGAGTCTCTCCCACAAAGCAGCCCGAGGGTGTGGCGCCTTTGCCAGATGTCCTGGTCCACAGGACGGCCTCCATTTGAAAGCGTCCAACGGTTCCCAATACACTCTTAAAGCCTGCCCCGTGAAAGCATATGTAGCCTGTGTGTGCATATCATGAAACTAAAAAGTGCTTTGAAAAGTCGATGTGGGGAAGTTTAATGGGCACAAGATGTATTTCAGCCCACGCTCCAAAAAAATAAAAACAATTGCTAGCTAAAAGTTTTGCTTGGTGTTTGACTAGGGGATCTCCCAGTTTGAAAGCTGCTTTGAACATTGAGTATTGGCCAGAGTTGGCCAGTTTTTGTTAAATTGAGTCTTTTATGGGCGAAACGTTCCAGTTTACTTAGGAAACTCCAGACCTTGCATGTCCTCTCCTCCAGAAATCATGCTTTTTTCCCTGGACACACTAAGATTTTGTTTCCACCAAATAATCCTAGACACTCCAGCCTGGAAACCAATGGCGCTTTGCTCTGACCAAGCCAGATGCTGAGGGGAGTCTGTTCCCTTTGCAGATACTTTTGACCCTTGACTGGTGTGGAAGTCTGCCTGCACAGAGCAGTGTCCTGCCCATGTCCCCCAGCGGGTGCACGTAGCTAGAAAGCTCACAGCAGCCCCTTCCCGCGGCCCTCAGCACTGTGTCTGTGGGAGGCCCACTGAGTTGTGTGCCCTGTGTAGTTTGGGAAAAGCTGAAGACATATATCAGGGAAAGCCCTTGGTTGAGGTGTCTGTCCCTTCTGGAGGCGCAGGGTCCACTCTTGGGTGCTCTACTCTCGTGTCGCCAGTTGGTATAAATAAACTTTTCACCCCACCTGTGTCGCTGTGCTCTGTCCAGCGTCATGGGGGCAAAGGCCTGCTTCAAGCCCAAGACTGGGCTGCACCTGCTGCTGAGAGCCCCAGCCCCTCCGTGGATGGCCCGAGTCCACCGGCGTCCCACTTGCAGATGCATGTGGGTTGGAAACACGCAGTCCTGTGGCACTGAGATCAGGCTCCCAGGAACCAGCTGGGAAGCAGCCTGGCTGCTGTTCTGGCCCTTAGCAGTCTCCCCAGGGCTACCTCTCACACCTCACTCGACGTCTCCAGCAGCCCCAGGGGAGAACGCAAGCTGGGGTCCTCGCTTTGCAGACGAGGGAGCCGGCCATGGGGTGGTGAGAGGCGGTAGTGAAGGAGCCAGGCTGCGAGCTGGGCTGGGCCCGTTCCGTGGGGCCCAGAGCAGAGACCCAGCCATAATGGAGCCCTGGGCTCACTGCCCACCCATCCTCATTTTGGAAGTGGGGAAACTGAGGCTTAGGAGAGGGGAATGTGACTTGTCCAAGGCCACACAGTGAGTTTGTGACTCCTGTTGCTGTCTCCACACACACAGAGGGACTTTTACAAACGAGGGCCTGAGGTCCCCGCCTCGGAGGCGCTGGGGTACCAGCGTGTGTCGTGACCTCATGCGTCTCCTCTCCCAGCCACAGTTTCCCGCTGAGCTGAGCCCCCAGTCCCTGCTCACCTGGTTGGCTGTGGCCAGTGGAGGTGAGCCAACTACAGAGGGTGGCCAGGCTGTGTGGCCCTGGGCAGCTAACAAAGGCGACTTCTTGTTGCTCCACTGCGCCCACCTCACGGGGGGCGAGTGTGAGGATAAAAGGAGGGGCCACATGTGAAGTCCCAGGCGGCAGAGTCGCTGCTGCTGTCCCCAGCAGAGCGCCCAGGGAGAAGTGTGTGTCATCGTGGGGGCCGCAGAAAGGAGGGGCTGTGGCCCCACATAGGCCGGCTCCTCCGCATCAGCTGTGTGACTGGGGGCTGGTCACTTAACCTCTCAGGACCCCCCTCCCCTGTAGAACCAGAGCAATGACACCTCATGTTTGGGTCTTGGGAGCAGTGTTCTGGGTCAGAGGTCAGATGACTCCCCCAAGGTCATTGCTGGTAAGGGCCACAGATCCTTCCACCCACTGCGTTCTGCTAAAAACCAGTGGGTTCTTCAAGTCCCCTGAGTGACCCCCTGGACTGGGATGGACAGGTGTGACAGCCCAGCCGGCCTCGGGGGTGAGGCGGGGGTCCGCTCCGGAAGGGCTCTGATGGGTAATGTCCACTCATCAGACCCCACCGTGCCCCGTCCCCCAGCCTGGGGGGGGACCATGGAGCTGCACCCCAGGGACCATGTGAGGGGCTGAGTGGGGGAGTGGGGAAAGGGGTGGCCGAGTGGTCAGCGGGAGCACGGTCCCCAACAGCGCTTCAGCTCCCCACACAGGCCTCGGCGCCTGCGGCATCAGACAGGCAGCTGGCCGCCTTCCCAGGGGCCCGATGACGCTCTGGTCAGCACACAGCTGTGGGAGCCCGTGGGCGACCCCCTTATCTCTCATTTGAAGTCTCGAGTGCAGCCTAGACTTTGTTAGGCGGCCCCATTTAGTGGGGAACCCCCGCTCTCCCCGATTACGTGATCCTGGGCGCCCCTTCTGCTTCCCATTCCTTCACTTCCCCATTTCTGAAGAGGGCCTGGCAGGGCCTTGCCACCTACAGGTTGCAGAGGCAGCGAGGACCGGCCTTCCTGCAAAGCCACTTCCCCAACGCGGGCAGGGCCAGCGGCTCAGTGCCCGGTGGTCCCCGCCCTCCTGACCGCACCTGGCAGAGCAGGAAGTCTCCTTCCAAGGCCAGTGGGTACTCTAGTGGGCTCCTGGCCAAAAGTGGACACAGGGTCGGGGTTTTGATGAATTACTGAAACCTTTTGTCAGCTGGCACCCCTTTCCCAGCACCTGGCCAGAACAGCTCAGCATCTTTGCCTCTAAGCTGATGAACTTCCAGGAATCCACTGCAGGACTTCATTCATTCACTCATTCATTCATTCATTCCACACACTCTGAGCACCCACCATATGCAGGCCTTAAGCAGATATAGTCCGAATCAGACATGCACTGCCCTTGGGCAGCTCAGTCTCAGGTGGGGGGTCGGGGGGCAGATGGATGACCAGACGATGAACCAGGGCCCCGTGGGAGCAGAGCAGGAGACACCTAAAGGCAGCCTGGTGGTCAGGCAGGGAGAGCTTCCTGGAAGAGGTGATGCCTGAGAAGCAGAGTTAGCCAGGCAGCGGAGGGGAAGGGCGTTCCTGGCAGAGAGCGCAGGCTGTCAGCGAATATTTGGGTCAGTACCACAGGAGCAGGCTGGGAGGGGAGGGTCCCCCTCACAACAAAAGCATGAGTTTTGTTGGGCCAGAATGCTGGAGTCCCCCAGTCAAAGAGGCAGTCAAGGCCAGTGTCGGAGTGAGTGAGTGGAGTGGAGGCAGGTGTCAGCGGGCTGTACCAGGGGCCTGCCGCGCGGGGACCCGGCAGGTTCACGCTGGACCTGCCAGCCCTGGCTCCCGATGGCCCCCAGCACTGGAAACCCCGTGGTGCCACAGAGAGGGCTGGGACCTCAGAAGTGCAGGCACGAGGCCCCCCACTCTTCCTGCTGTGTGGCCTTGGGCAGCCCCGGCTCCCTCTCTGAGCTGTCTCCTCACCTGGCAGCAGGCTTTTGTGATGACCTATGTCAGGTGCCTGGCACCCAGCAGTGTTCAGGACACACCCACTCCTCCCTCCTCCTGGACCCCATAAAAAGGTGGCTCACAGCCAGGTGTCAGGGCAGTGAGGGGCCAGGGCAGCCAGCTGGAACTGGCTGGAACCCGGTTTCGCTCAGAAAAGGGGAGGGTTTGGGATGGGGGTGGGCAAGAGAGCAGGCATCATGCCAAACACTGAACAGGCCCCTGTGGCAGGGCTCAGCGCACAGGCCAGGCCTCCCCGCCCCAAAAGCAGGAGTAGTGGAGCCGGCAGGAGTAGTGGAGCCAGCCGGAGTGCTGGGCTGGGCCTCAGTGTGCCCATCTGTGCAGTGGGAGCGCTGGCCACACAGGTTTGGAGGGCTCGGCCTCTGAGGATGAGCTGGAGGTGGGGAAACCGGTCGCCAGCCCCACAGACCACAGAGCAACACCACTGAACATCCGCAGAAACGTTTTACTGGCAACAGCTTCCCACTGAGTCCACAGGGTTACAGACAGAGCAAGGGTGCATGACTGGACCCTGCGCTGAGCTGCCCACGGCTATCCCAACAGTGTCCTCTCAGCAGCCGGTGCAGGGAACGAGTGGGGCTGGAGCCAGGCAGCTGCGCCTCAGGTCTGTCTGGCGGGGAGACCAGTTGAGCTGCGTGTGAGGGACAATGCTCGCACTAAACAGCAGTGGAGAGCCGGGGGGGCGGTGAGCGGACAGCTGAGTGAACAGAGGGAGGTGCAGACACAAGGGGGCTCTGAAGACGGGGGGGCAGGGAGAGGTGACAGCGAAGCTGGAATGAACGACAGACCAAATGCACCAACACCTCCGTTGGACGGATGTCCTCACCCAAGAAGTCCACTCCCCCTGGCTCATGTGACCCTCAGGCCAGCCCGGCTGATGGCAGATGGCCCTTGACCTTCTCGTGGTCTGTAGCCAGGCAGGCCAAGCCCCGGCCTCGGCTGACTCCGGCTGCAAGGAGGCTCCCGGCCGTCCTGGGTGATGGCCCAGAGGGGCCCAGCCCCCAACGCTCCCCCTTGCCTCCTCCAGCTGCTGTGACCTCTGGAAGCTGCTGGCGGGTGGGCGCCCGGGGCGTTGGGACTGGCTATGTGAGCAGGCCCCTGGTGAGCCTCAGCACGGCCTCGTAGGCGACAAAGACCACCATGTTGACGGGGAAGGCGCGGCAGCAGTTGAGCGTCAGCCCCTTGAAGAGGACCCGCGGCCCCTCCTCCCGCACGCTGGTCACCACGCAGTGCAGGAGGCCCCGGTAGCGCCGCTGGCCCTGCCCGTCCGCCTGCAGGCGGGACTTGATCACGTCCATGGGGGTGGCCACAGCCCAGGCCAGGACCCCTGCGCAGCCACCAGCCACCAGCACACCCAGGACACCTGCAGGGAGAGGCCCAGGAGTACATTGGTTGGAAGCAGGGTTGGGGCCCCAGAGGAGGGTGGGTAGGGCACCCAGGGCAGGGCCCGGCTGTCATGGGCCCTGGGCTCACTCCACCATCGTGAATCTCCACGGCCACACAGAGCAGTCTGTCCTGACTCTCGGTATGGGGGACACTGAGGTTCCCACCCGGGGAGGCGCCAGGGACCAGTGTGCGGCGTGACCTCAGTTCCCGCGGGCTGAGCCCCCGGCCCCGCTCACCTGCCTGGGCCCCAGGCCCTGCTCACCTGGCTGGCTGTGGCCAGTGGGGGTGAGCCAGTCGCAGAGGAGGGCATAGGACAGGAAGTAGGTGGCGAAGGAGTGGCCGTCCCTCAGGAGCAGGGCCGAGCTACCCCGGTAGAGGCCCAGCAGCCCCTCCTCACGGGCCACCATGGCCAGGCAGTGCAGCGGCCCGCGGTACTTGGGCCCAGGCTCCGGGCTTACAGGGGCCGCAGGACACAGCGGGGGCGCAGCCGAGGGCCCTGAGGCCGAGGGGCGCCGCTGCTGCCTCTGCGTCTGGGTCTGCATCTGGGTCTGGGTCTGCGTCTGCAGGCGGACCTTGGCCACCTCGGTGGGCGAGGTCAGGAACACCTGGGGCAGAGGAGGAGGGGTGAGGAGGCGCCGGCAGCTCGGCCGCACACCCTGGACCTGGCCTCCCGTTAGCCTCGTGTTGCCCACAGTGACATCCAGGGAGCCTGGGCCCCCGGGAGCTTCGGGCTGGCCCCGGGGCCATGGTGGAGCTGGGTTCAAAGCCCACTCTGCCCACCCAAGCCAAAGCCAGAGCTCCCTTCACTAGCGCACTGTTAAGTGTTTAATAACATAATTCATATGTTAATGACATATTAATGTATTATTTAATTAATGTATTTAATAACATTAATTTGTAATATATGATAATATTACTAATAATTTTTGCTGCCATTTCGTGTGTGCTCATACCTGTCAGACTCCATGCTGGGGGCTTTACAGTCATGACCTCACGTAATCCTTACCAAGCCTCTTACTGATGAAGAGAGAGAAGCTCAGAGAGGCTCCCTAGCATGCCCAAGGTCCCTCAGCTAAGGAGAGTCAGCTGAGTGCTCACCCACAGTCCCGTCCCGTCTCTGCCCTCGCTGAGCCTCCGCTTCCCCACCTGCTGGGCTTGGGGACCTCTTGGGCCCTCTCAGCCTCTCCCCATCCCTGGGTCCCAGGGGCCCCTCACCCCGCCCCACTCACGCGGACTAGGCCAGAGGCGAATCCCGAGAGGGTGACGTCAGTCTTGGCGGGCTTGGCATCGGCGCTGCCGTACCGGAAGCGGCAGACATACACAAGGCAGTGGCGGTAGGTGCCGAAAGACACGGAGGAGACCAAGGACACGGTGCACACGGGCAGCGAGAGACCCCTGTAGAAGCCCCACAGCTGGCGGGCAGGTGAGGGGACCCGAGGGCCCGAGTCAGGCCAGGGGCCCAGCCAGGAGGAGGGGCGGCCCGAGAGGCCCTGGGCCCAGGGAGCTGGGTCCCAACCCTGCTCCGCCCTCCCCTGTGGGACCCGCTGTGGGACCTCTGGCAAGTCCCCTACTGCCCAGGGCCTCGGATCCTCAGCTGTGAAATGGGGATCGTAATGCTCAACTCGTGAGGTCGTCAGGAGGGATTGAAGAGACCGAGGGCCAGGCCCGACCTAGGGCAGCTATCTGATGCTTATTGTTGCTACTTTTCTTTTGCTCGGCCCTGGCGGGCACCGAGCCCAGAGTTCCCTTTGGTAAGTGTCCCTGAGTCCCTCCTCTGGACGGGTCTCTGAGCTGGACCCTAGGGCCCTGACAACTCCACCCAGCGCTGCTTTCGAGGGCTGACCAGCCTGCAGGGGACAGAAAGGCAAATACATGGGTCCCTCCCTTGACCTTTAAAGCCCCAGACGCCACCTCTAGACCCTCTCAAGAGGCAGGACCTCATTCTGAGCACCCCCTGTGTACCGGACACCCCAGCTCTGGTCTTCAGAGAAATCCAGGAGGTTGGCACAATTATTCTCATTTGGAAGGTGAGAGAACTGAGGTGAGGCTCAGAGAGGGGCTCACCATCGCCTCGCTGGTTGGTGAGTGGCAGGCCTGGGATTTGAGGCCCCGACATCCCCCTGCCCATTACCCTGGCCCCAGCCTACCCGCTCTCGGCGATACGTGTCCCAGACGCAGTGCCAGATGCCCATGTACCTGGACTCCGTCTGGATCCTGACCTGTGGGAGAAGCAGGCTTCAGGAAGGGGTGGCTCCAGGCCTGAGCAAGGTCAGCAGGCCCTGGGGGAGGGGAAGAGCCAACCCCTTGATTGTCACAGCCATGCTGACTGTGGGCAGAGCAGAGACAGGGAGCCCCATTTAAGAGAAGCCTGAGGGCCAGCCCCGTGGCTTAGCGGTTAAGCGCACGCACTCCGCTGCTGGCGGCCCGGGTTCGGATCCCGGGTGTGCACTGACGCACCGCTTGCCCGGCCATGCTGAGGCCGCGTCCCACATACAACAACTAGAAGGATGTGCAGCTATGACACACAACTATCTACTGGGGCTTTGGGGGAAAAATAAATAAATAAAATTAAAAAAAAAAAAAAAGAGAGAGAAGCCTGAGGCACAGGGGTGAGAAAGAGAGACTGCCAGTCCTGAGGACCAGGGGGAGGGCTGGGTCTGATCAGCACACTAGAAAGGTCTTCTGGGCGTGGATGGGGTGCAGGAGACTCAGAGGGTGGCCTAAGCCCAGGCAGGGCCTTGGGGTGGGCGGTGGGGGCCTGGCCATGGCCACACCTTCACCGTGTCCAGAGGGTAGCCCACAGCAACACCGCAGACGCCTGGAAGGAAATCAAAGGAACCAGGTGAGGAGGAGGGAGCAGGCCGGGCCAGTCTCGGGGAAGGAGGAGGGGGGCGAACGCTGACCACTCCTGCTGAGAGCAGACCCACACCCGCCCTTCTTGTCCACACCCTCTCTCATCAGCGGGGAGAGTGACCCCCGTTTCGCAGATGACGAAACTGAGGCTCAGAGAGGTAACATGACTTCTGCCACTCTGCCAGCAGTTTCTCCTTCCTCAAGTCTCTGCCTGCTGGTGCCCCATTCTGAAAGCCACGGACGCTCCTCGGCCTCCCCTCTGGCGCCATCTTTTGGAAGAACTTGGCGTCTGACCCTTGCTGGGCCCTGTCCCCAAGCCAGGCAGAGTCCCTTCCAGCCTCAGGCTGTAAGGGTTCGTCTGCGAACCAGGAGGCAACCGCACCTCACAGCTGTGGGGGTGGGTGGAGGGGGGCCAGTGAAGGAGGGGGCACAGCCCCCACAAAGGCGAGGAGGTGGCAGACAGAGCCCGGGGCACCCCAGGGCTCCGTGAAGGACTCCTTGGACCCACAAGTTTGCGTGGGACGGAGTGGAACTCCAGGCTTCCTGGACCAGGGCTCTCTGCCCCCTGTGAAGGGGGCCACCTGCCACCATCCTGTTCCTTTCTCCTTTGCTGACACCAGAGCCTCAACATCCAAGCCCCCAGCACTTGGTGGAGATTGAGCAGGCAGGTCCCTGGTGGTTATACCCCGGGGGTGGGGAGGTGAGGGCCATCTGAAGAAAATAAGCCATGGGGGGGCTGTGCCCTATTTACTGTGTATCCCAGGACTCAATAAATACGCATGAATGAAAGAACAGAGTGAGTGGATGAATGAATGAATGAACGAAAGAAGACTGACTGACTGACCTGGGTAGAATTATCCTCCTTGATCCTCACATGTACCTCACTGAACTCCTACTCATCCATCAAAGCCCTGCCACAACATCACCTCCTGTCTGGAGCCCTCTCTGACCCATATCTGGGCTGCCTCTGTGCCGGGAAACATGTTGGTCAGAGAACCTGTCACGTGGCTTTGCTACTGTCCCATGGCATGCCATCTCTGCCTCCAGAACTAGAGTTCCTCAAGGACAAGGGCCAGAACTGATCCCTGTGACCAGGGCCAGGCACAGAGCAGGGGTCCTCTCCACCCAGGCCTTCCCCAGGGCTCTGGAGGAAAGAGGCAGGACTCAGGAGTTCTTTCTGGCTGTGCAGTCATGGGCAGGCCAAGCCCCTTCTCTGAGCCTCCTCCTTAGGAGGCTGACGTCCAGGGAAGCAGCGGGCCTCAGGCCCGGCGCACAGTAGGACCTCAGAAAGCCCAGGGGTGGGGCCAGGGCCCTGGCCTTTTCTGGCTCGGCGCTGTCTTCGGTTCCTGAGGAGAGCACCCGCTGTTCCCAGAAGTGTGAGCCAGCAGCCCACTGCTATTTCACAAGATGAGTGAGCTCAAGGACGCCTCGCCCCAAACAGCCTCCACTGCCTGAAGAGCGACGGCCTGGGAGGGAGCCCGTTCTCCACCTGCTTCCCACTGGGCCCGTATCTCTCTGGGTCAGTCTTGCACAACCAGCCCTTTCTCCAGAGTGGAAAACAGTTTGGGGGCCCAGCGAGGCCAGGAGTGGCCAGGCGGGCGCACGCAGTCAGCGGGGGCTGGGGCCGGCTCCACTGGGCCTCCCCGCCCCCCACCCCGTTCCGGTCTGTGTTGTAGGACCCAGGCCCGTCTGTCCTCACCATCCATCTTGTCCTGGGGTCTCTCGTCCCTTCCCACGGCTCAGGCATCCCTCTCCGTGCCAATGACCCTCAGCCTCCACCTGGCCTAGACAGAGACCACCCTCTGCCCCCAAACGGCCCCCACCCCTGGACCTGCCCCTCAGTTCCTCCGGCCAATGCAGACCCACCACCCCCTCCCCCCAACCTCCTCCTGGGCCCTGTGTCACCTGCCCCTGTCTCCCGGGAACCTGCTGTCTCCTCCTGACACTCGTGGTCCACACCACATCCCGGCCACTTCCAGGGGATGCTCCTCAAACCCTGCTGCTGCCGGAAGGCTACCCCCGGGGCAGAGCACCCCCCCAGCTCCTCATGATGCCCTGGGGAGCAGCAGTCCCCTGCGAGGCCTGTCCTTGTCTGTTACCTCCGATGGCTCCAGCAACAAAATCCATGGACAGCGTGGGTTGTGGGGAAGGCCCTGGGGTCCGCCTGCCTGAAAGCAGTCTGGTGCCACCACCGGGGTGGCCTCAACAGCTCCCAGTTGCTCTCAGACCTTAAATACCTGCGGTGGGGGGCAGGGGACAGGAGGCAAGAGCCTACTGACCAGTGACCCGGAAGGCAGAGGCCACGCTGGGAGGCAGGCGGGTCGGTGCCCACACCCATGCACTGGGCAGCTGGACTCACTCCCGCCACCCCCCACAGGACCCTTGTCCCAGTGCCCTCGAGACCCAGGTGTGGGGAGTGTGTGAAAGGCCACAGGACGTGGCAGGCTCTCAGGAAGCAGGATCGCTGTCCCCACTGCCCTCAGGGCCAGGCCCCAGGCCGTGTCCAGACACCTCCTAGGGGGTCTGGGGATGGGTCTGTGATGCCCCCGTTCCTCCAAGCCCAAGCTCAGGCCTTCTTTGTGTCCTCGGGCACCCCGACTCCCCTGGAATTGTTCCTGCCCAGTGTTGCTCAAAGCTCCCTCCATTATTCATTCAACAAACACTTTCTGAGCTGAGGCTGCACTGAAGACCCAGTCCTCATCTGCAGGGAGCTCCAGTTGGTAGGGAGGGAGTGGGGGAGATGGGCCACCAATGACTGAGTGCCAGGGAGGCTGGCCAGAGCCCTCCTGGGAGCCCATTTCTGCTCCAGGCCCTTACACTGCCCTGTCCCACATTGTCCCTGCCGCGTCCACGCCTGTCTCCCCCGCCCCCAGGGCCCTCCAGAAGTGGACGCCACTCCAGTATGCAGCTGTTTCCGTCCAATGGTCACAATTGTTGTGAAAAGAAGTGCCCCCTGGGAGTGCACTTCACTTTACAGTTTACCAAACACTCTTCCTTCACCAGCTCGCGGGGTCCTTGTCACAGCCCTGGGAGGGAGGCAGGGCCGACAGTCCCCATTTTACAGATGGAGCCACTGAGGCCCAGAAAGGGGACTTGCCCGAGGCCATGCAGGCGGCAGGGCCAGGCTTGATCACCAAAGACTCTGGAACAGCCAGCCCCCATCTGATGCTGAGGGCTGTCGAGGGGAGGCCCTGATACCCCTGAGCCCGGCCTTCCTGGCCGTCACCCCACTGGGCCCTCAAAGGGGCTCAACACATGCCCCCACATGACCCACGCTGCAGCCCCACAAGGTGGCCACGGGGGACGCCGAGGCTCGGGGAGGCTGTGCACCTGCCTGGGGTCACACAAAGTGAGTGTCCCACTGACCAGAACGCTGGCAGGACAGGGAGAGGGGCAGGCATGGACATTGCAGGGTCCGGGCAGCCCTATCTGGGTGGTCCTGGGGCAGGGGCCACATGCCTGCCCGTTTTCCTGTCCTCTGATGGGCAGACTCGCAGGCTGGCCTTGAACGTGCTGAATGCTGACCGAGGGGCAGCTCACCCCCGCCTGCCCGCTGTTTGTGTGGTGAGCGGGGGACACAAGTTGGCAGTGGCAGCTGCCATGCAGAGGGCAAAGGGCAGGATGCGGCCCGTTCAAGGCCAGCCCCGCTGCCCGGCCTGGTCTTTGGAGAGACCCGGCTCAAATCTGGTTAGGAGCCAGGCTGTCAGCGTTCAAATCCCAGCTCTGCACTCGTCCCTGCTCCAAGACCTTGGGCAAGCCCCTTGACCTCTCTGTGCTTCCATTTCTGCATCTACGAAACGAGGATAGGACCTTCCCAGCATCTGTGACCACTCAGGGCAAGCTCTGGCATGTCCCTGTGGGGGTGGCCAGCCAAATGCTAAGGCTGCATTAATTGGAGCATAGGGTCTAGAAGGAAGGAGGTGACAGGCCTGTTCTGAACAGGGCAAATACACTTGGGACGTGGGTTCAATTGCAGATGCTACACTCGAGAGGCTAGTACCTTGACGATGACAGAGCTGGAAGCACGTCATCTAACCAAAAGAACAGGGACTGTTTAGTCCCAGGTTTCCTACAGTGTCCAATGTGCCCTGCCCCCTGGCACCTGAGCCAGGAGCCTGGAGTTGCCCTGGACGCCTTTCCCCCTGCACCTCGCATCCAGCGAGGCACCCAGTCCTACGGTCAACTCTCTGAAGTTCATGTTCAGATCCCCTCCTGCGATCCAGCTGCACAGCCCCCGCTGCATCGTCTCCCCCTGGACAACAGTCCACTCCCGCCCGTGCCCCTACTCACGCAACAAACACCACGTGTCACGACATGCCACGTTCCAGGCACTGGGCCACAGCAGTAAACACAGGCAAAAGTCCCTTCCCCGCGGATCTGATGCTCTAGGGAGGGAGAGAGCAGCCAACACGATAAATAACCAAACTGCAGAGCCTCCCAGATAGGGTTGGTGCCAAGGAGAGAAAGAGTGGGGAGGGACAGGGAGTGTTGGGGGGCAGTGTTAGAAAGGGCAGCCCAAGAAGGTGACATTTGAGTCAAGCGTGTTTTCTCGGTCACTGTAGCCAAGTGTCACCTGCCGTTCGTCTCCTGACCAAACATGCCCCAACTTCACCCTTCTCCACGGCAGAAACAGGAAACATGCTGCCCCACTGTTTAGGCTGCTTTGTGCAGGGCTACACATTTCCCCACCCAGCTGTGAGCTACTGGCAGGCAGGGTCGTGCAGGATTTGTTTCTGTGCCCAGAGAACCCAGCACGGGGCAGGCGCCCTGGGGGGGCTGGTGAATAAATGCGTGAGAAAAGGAATCAGTGAATGGATGGGTGGGCGGGTGGGTGGATGGCTGAGTAGATGGGTGGATGGTTAGATGGAGGGATGGACAGACAGAGGGACAGTCAAATGTACAATGAATGATTAGATGCAGGGTGGGGTCACCTGCTCACACTTGGCTTGACCTAACCCAGGAGGTGGCAAAGAGGCCGTCGAGAGGCTGGGCAGGCAGGGGTCTTGGCCGGGGAGAGCCCCACACGGGTTGGGGGAGAGCTCAGGCTGGGCACTCTCAGTCTGGGTTTGCCTCCGGGCTCCCTGTCTCCCAGCTGTGTGACCTCAAGCCAGTGGTGTGCCGGCTCTGATTTCTCCAACAGGGAATGGACCTTGAGTTTTGTGTGGATGGCAGGAGGCAGAGCCCATGGGGCACCCGCTGGGGCCACCCTTCCTGGCGGGCAGGGTTACTATTACTAGCAGCAAGGCAGGCTTTAGGCCTCCACCAACACCAGAGCCCCACCGTGTGTGCCCCGGCCCGGCCTATCCTCTAGGGGGAGACAGATATTGCACAAACAACCCCAGCCAAGGCCCCAGCAAAGCGCTCGGGGAAGGGGGAGCGCTGGCCAAGGGGCTTGACACATCCTAAAATGCATTTTCACATTTTATAACGAAAGGAATAACTACACGTTTTTGTTTTGTTTGGTTTGGTGAGGAGGATTAGCCCTGAGCTAACATCTGTGCCCATCCTCCTCTACTCTATTTGGGACACCTGCCAAGCATAGCTTGATAAGCGGTGTGTAGGTCCACGCCTGGGATTCAAACCTGTGAACCCTGGGCCGCCGTAGCGGAGCGCACACACTTAACCATTACGCCACCGGGCCAGCCCACACGTTATTTATTTTAAATCCAGACCAAAGAGACGCAGCCAACATAGAAAGTGAAATCCCCACATCCCAGGCCTGGGCCCTGAACTTCCAGTCGGATGCAGGCAAACACCAACATTTTCTTTTTCACTAGTGTTTTGCCATTTGCTCCGTTCCCTCATCGATATGTCTGGGCTGCCTTGCCACTGCGGCGCCTCCGGACCCGCTTCCCTTTCGTGCACATACACGGTATCTGTGGTGTGGCCGCAGGGACAGGGGCTGAGCCCGGCTGCCTGGTTGACCCTCGCCCCCTGCTTCTCACTGTGTGACCTGGGTGAACCCCAGCCCACCTGGGCCTCAGTCTCCCTGTCTGTAAAATGGAAATTCTGTTACCTACCGCCCTACCCGGCGGGCCGTGGGAGGACTACTGTGTCGGTAGCCGTAAAGCTCCCACAGCCGCGCCTGGAGGCAGCAGGTGCTCTGAACATTGCCATTGTGATTTAATTGCCTGGTGATGTGCTTGGGTTTGTTTCCAATTTATTACAGAAAGCTCTCCAGTAATCACGCTTCGGGGTCCTTTGTGTTTCAGAGGGGCACGTTCTCAGAGGGGAGATCACTGGGTCAAAGATACCTGACCTACTTTTAATTTTCATGTAGTTTGCCATTTTGGCAGGATTTGGAGGGGCCAAGTAGGGGCAGTGGGACTTCCAGGTAATGGAAGTGGCTCAGGAGCCCAGAGTGGGCACTGGGGTGCCGGGCCGGCTCCACAGATCGGTAGCCCTGGCATTTCCAGAAAATGGGGCTCCTTGGCCAGTCTGGACAAGGTCAGGAGAGTCCAGGTGCTCACCCGGCTCACTGTGACCAGGAGCAAGCTGCGGACCCCTCCGAGCCTCAGTCTCTTCATCTGCAAAATGGGACAGGAGACGAGAGTCTGTGCTCTCTGGGCCGTGCTCCGCCTGGATCCGCATGACACCCAGCTGCAGGCTGCAGACCACACAACCCAGGGATTGGGAAAGACTGCCCCCACCTTCGGGAGGGTGTGTGTCTCTGGGGGGTGACTGGTTTGTAGAGTGGGATGAGCCCCGGCCTCGGTCCTCTCAGACACCCTGGCCTCCCTCTGACATCCTGCTGGGTTAGAGCCCTGGGCTGGGATCTCTGAGCCTGTGTGGTCCCCAGGAGGGGCCCCAGAGCTACTGAGCATGTGACAGGATGTTCCCTGCTGCCTCCTCTGCCTGTGCCTCCTCCCTGGACACGGGGCGCACAGGTGGGGTTGCCCCCCAGCTCCGGCTCCCCCTCCTCTAGCAGACGTGCTGGATACTGCTGCTTTTACCCCGGAGACGGGCAGAGGCGTCGGACCGAACCTCCCGGCCCACTGGAAGCACTCCTGTGTTACAGGAGGGGATACCATGGGCCCGAGAGAAACGGCCAGTGAGAACTGGCAGGAAGACCTGGAAGCTGAGCCCAGCTCTGCCACGATGACACTGTGGCCAGAAACCAGGCAAGGAAAGGGTTAATGCAAATCTGATCCATAACTAAACATAATCTGTCAAATGTTTTCCCGACAAGGAGAAAACGGTGCTGTTTCAGAAGTTGATGTCCTCCATGTCTT